AGGGTCAAAGGGAAGTCTCTCCCCTCGAGCACAACACTTAGGTGACTCTGGCCAGCGAAAGAGGGCCGGACACGCATGCAAACGGAAGGCGGGCAGACTCGCTCGCCAAATCAAAGCCACTTACGGGCACTCCTCGGGCCCATGACTTAGGCTAAAAATTCATGCAAATATATGATTTCAAACAAGGGCAAAACATCCAAAATGTAAAACAGCATTGATATAAATGCCCGAAGGCGATAAAACAATTATAAACCGATCAAGAAGGCCGGCGATGTTCGTAACGTACAGCAAACGGGCACGCAGGCCCAAAGAATACAAATGTCAAGGGCACGCAGGCCCGCTATCCTAGTCAGGTCTCCCCAGAACCATCATTGTCGGCGCTTGGAGAGTCGGGCGGAGGAACGATCACGCCATCCACGATCTGATGTGTATGGCTGATACCCTCAGTAACCAGACCAGGGTTTAGCAAGGAGAGTTGACCGACCGCGGAGTTGAACCCATCCTCCAGGGCACTGACGCAATCCGCCTCGAGGAGCCGGATATGGGCGACCAGCTCCAACCGACTCTTCAAAGCCACTATGTCCTCGGGCTCGTCCTCGGCAGGTTGCATGGCAGCATTCATTTCCTCGATCTGCTGGGCCAAGCGTTCAACTTCGGCCCCCAGACGATCCCTGTCTGCCCGAAGAAGCTCCCCCTCCTCGGCCAACTTCTCCGACTTCTCCTTCTCCAGGGTCAACATCTCCCTCTCAGCATCGAGCATCGCCGTCTGCTCGCGGAACATCTCCTCGGAGCGTTCCAGAGCGACCTTCAACTTCCGCGAGCTCGAGGTCAGGGCCGCCTTCTCCTGCTCGAGTTCTTCAACACGGGCAGGATCCCCTCCATCCTCGGATAGCACCAAAGCCATCTCGGCCATTTTTACCAGCCCGTCCATGCTGGCGGCCAGATGCGCCTTCCGGTCCTCTTTACTCATCTTTTTTATGGCTGCAGCTTCATCGGCAATCACTGTCAGAGGGAATCTCTCGAAAAAGCCTGCATCTTCGAAGCAAGGGGGGAAGGCAAAAGATTTAACAGCACCGGCGTCCTCGCCAACAGTCGGACCACTCTCCACACGGGTCCTCTTCCTCTGTACCAAGACGGCACTAGGGTCGATCTCTTCAACTTCTGGGGTCCCGTCCGACGCGGCCCCCGAGCTTGACGGCGAGTCCACCCTCACCGGCTGAGGAGCATTTGGACTGTGTGGTGGACCCATCCTCATCGCCTGTGGGGCCTTCACGACCCTTCTGCCTCGCTTCTGGTCGCAGGATAATTTCAAGAGCCTTTCATGACGACCAGCCATCGAACCTGCACAAAATAAAAGTTAGGTCAGTATCGAGCAAACTCATAGACAAAGGACGAGCAAAGAAATTCAAGCAATAAACAACCTAACAGACGGGCAGCCTGCCTGTACGTCGGGCACTCCACAAGCGCCTTGGTATCAATCGGACGGGACTCGAACGTTGGGTAACCATCTTTGTCCAAGATATCATCCCCTTCCCGCGTAACCCACCGGGCAGGATGGAAGCTATCGACAAACCGGCAAAGTGCGGCGTACGCCTCCTCGTCTTCCGAGCACATGTCCCCGGCAGCAGTGTGGTAATAACCAGTCCCATGCTCGTAATGTCGGGACATCCAGTGCACAGGGACTTTAGCCGTACGAGCCAACACAGGGTTCCCATCGTCGCCCAAAACCGCCTCCCCGTCCTCGTCGCTCAGCGGCTCCTCCTCCTCGAACAGAGTACTTAAAGCAGAGGTGGTAACTGGCCGCACCACGTACCACTTGTCTTTAAAACCCCTCACGGAGTCCATATACATTTTGAAGAGTCTCCTCGACTGCTTCAGGGAGACCCAGCTATGTTTCCCTCCTCGGGACTGGCGCTGCAGGTGAAAAATCCGGAAGAAGAGCGGTATGGTCGCCCCGATCCTCAAGTAACGACACGTCAACTCAAACGCCCGGATGAAAGCGAGCGAGTTTGGATGTAGCTGGGACGGGGCCAGCTCCAGGTGAGTGAAGACCCCGACCTGGAAATCAGTGAAGGGCAGCTGCAGCCCTAGATCTTTGAACGCGATCTCATACATCGCGAAGTTATATTCCGGATAAACCGAGCAGATCCTTGCACGGGATGACGGGCGCATGACTACGAAGTTCTTTTGGAAGTCGGGCTGGCCCTGGCCCGCTTCAATGACAGCATACGGATCCCGGTCGCCCCGACTGTAGACCGATGCGATCCCTCGGGGCTCGACGCCCACCCAATCCAGCAAAGGGTCAGTCACAGTATCAATCAGGTTGACCGACTCGTCGGCACTTTGTTCTTCACGATCGTGACGCCCGGAGGAGCTCGGCTCGTCCGCCATGGTTACCTGCAGAGCACGGAAAACCAGTCAATTGGGCACGAAGCCATACGCTCGACAAGTCACGTCGTCCCATTCACGACCACGTAGTCCGTTTCCACGAATAGTTGCCTCCCCGACATCCTGAAACTCGGTGTGTTTTTCCTCAAAACCAACCACGCGGTCACTCTCCAACATGTCGACCCAAGGTACGAACATGGCGGACCACACCATGAGGGTCACGGCCAAGACCATGAACATGCCGGGCGCGATCATGCATCAGGCGCCCTGGATCATGAAGACCCCGGGCAGCGCTGGAGTTTATCACCTAAAACTATGAATACGCCGACCACAAACATGCGTTTGCCGGTCCTAGGCATGAATATGTCGGGCTAAGTATGAGTTTACCGGGCTAATCCCACGCGCACGACCCTAAAACATCTACAAACGCCAAAAATCACGCATTCTAACAAGAAAATGAAGAAGATAGACCACTTACTTGAATCAAAGAGTAGGAGTTAGCTACGGAGTAGAAGAATCTGTGACAGAAAGTCGCAACTGGAAAAAATCTGGAAGAGCAGCAGCAGAGAGAGCGCGGAGAATAGAAACGTGTTATGGGGCCGAAGGTTCCTATTTATAGTGATGACGTGGAATACCAAACGTCACATCGGGCAACCACGGACACCCTCTCCTTGACGCGCTGCCCCCAACGCAATGATGACCCTATCCTCATAGGGTGGCGGCACAGTTCCCGAAAGATACCTAGCATGCTCAACAGATGCGCCCGGTAAGGATCCTCCGGGCATCCACCGCGGAAGATGTCCCCAAGCACGACACGAGGAGGCCCTCGAGGCCCCACACCTCTGTCCCGGGCACGAGACCTCGATGAGGAAGCGATCTGAGTTCAAGTCCTGGCTCCTCACAAAGGAACCACGACTTGGGGAGCTCCTGTTCTGGACTGGGCCCGACAGGCCCAAAAGCATTGCAAAGGCCCAGTCCAAATGGACTTACAAGGGCCACGTCGACCAAAGAGTGAGACCGTGCCCGACGTGCAGTCACTGGCTCGACGATACACCTCCAGCTCGACATGAGATGGTCCAGCACCACATTCTGAGGTCCAGCTCGACGTTACCTCGAGCACCCCAGCTAGGGCAGACTCAGTCCACTGTTCCCCAACGATGCTCCGAAAAGACCGCGTCTCCGTCCGCCCGCACTTCACGCAGAACATCCAGGAAGGGGACCACGTGCGGGTCCCCACTACGCATGTAGAACCTGGCAGTTCCTCCATTGGGCCAAACCTGCCCGGCCCAATGAAGGAACCTTGGCCCAGCGCTGGGGGCTATAAATACCCTCTGCTTCCAGAGGGTCAGGTATTCATCATTCTAACCTTACACTTGCTATTATCTGCTCGTACTCCTACTTACTTCAACATCGGAGTGCCTTGCAGGTACCCCCCACCTCGTTCAAAAAAGCTTTCTGCTCGGAGCCAGCCGTGACGGTCCATTTCTGATCAGGTCAGATCAATAACTATCAAAAACCTCCAAAATATGTGAATTGTCAAAATATATTTATTTTTTTCTCACTTACAGATTTTAAAACATCTCTAAATTAAATGTAGAAATAAAAAACTTCAAACCCGTGTTTATACTGATTTTTTTTAAACACATTTATACTGATTTATTGACCAATCTGATTTTAATTATTCATATTTATAACTATCAAAAACCTCAAAAATATGTGAATGTCAAAATATATTTATTTTTTTCTCACTTACAGATTTTAAAGCATCTCTAAATTAAATGTAGAAATAAAAAACTTCAAACCCGTGTTTATACTGATTTTTTTAAAACACGTTTATACTGATTTATTGACCAATCTGATTTTAATTATTTGATTATACAAGTAAAAATATTCATATTTATAACTATCAAAAACCTCAAAAATATGTGAATGTCAAAATATATTTATTTTTTTCTCACTTACAGATTTTAATACATATTAAAACGTCTACAAAACAGATTCAGTCAATGAAGATTTCAATTTAAAGGGGTTAGAGTTATCAATTTGATTTAAAAGTAATTGAATCTAGATGGAGAAGGATGAAATTATACAATAATTGAAGTCAAAGTCAAAATAGCGTTTCCTGACATGTCACATCCCACACATTTTATTTGTAACTAAGTTTGTATAACTTAAAAGAGAACATGAACTGGGCCTAAAAAAAAGTCCAATTTTAGATGTTTAAATACTATCAAATAATTTATGATATGAAATGAATCAAACTTTCTTAAAAACAAATTTATATCATTGGATTTATCAGCCAACAAAACTCAATCAACTTAAATATAAACAGCCGACCTAAACAGAAATATCAAACAAAATATTCCTTATATTAAGAAGATTACCCAAAATGAAAAAAGCCATCCATCTCTAAAACAAGAGGAGGAAAAACCTAAGGCCGTCTATTGATTTGAAATACAAACAAAAAAACGCAGACACTTTGTATCTCAGTGACATCACTCACAACAACACAAATTTATTCTAGAATTGAAATTCACAGTATGCTGATAAATCCTCAGTGAGACAAAAATTTAGAACACTGTCACACGATGCAATCCAAGCTCAGACTCATATCAAGCCACAGAAGCAATGTGGACAATCAGATCAATAACACGGGTACTGCAACAAAAACAAATTTTCATCAGTAACTGTAAAAACAGTGTGTATTCATTATTCAATGCTATAGTGTGACAGCAAGGTCTTAGTATAGTATATACCTGTATCCCCATTCGTTGTCATACCAAGAAACAAGTTTCACAAAGTTTTCATTCAAAGCAATTCCTGCCTTGGCATCAAATATGCTAGACCTGAAATTCCAAGAAAAATCCAACATTATGATAATTAGATTGTGAGAACATCAAAAACTGATCATGGCAGTTTATCTTCAATGAAATTGAAGCCTTAAGTTGCTTAAAAAATGCCCAAAATTACCTGCTATCACCAACAAAGTCAGTAGATACAACATCATCTTCAGTGTAACCCAAAATACCCTTGAGTTTACCCTCTGACTCCTCCCTGGTTTATGACATTTCAACAAAATGGATTGTGTTAGCAAGGGAAAGTTATCCGATTGGGCAAATTTAAGGGGTGAGTTTAAAACTTTACTTGATAGCAGCTTTGATCTGCTCATAGGTAGCGTTCTTCGCAAGCCTGACAGTGAGGTCAACAACTGAAACATCAACGGTAGGAACACGGAATGACATTCCGGTCAATTTACCGTTTAGTTCTGGAAGAACCTTTCCAACAGCCTGTTTAACCCAAAATTAACATTCAATGGTAAGAAACAACAAGAGTATTGCAAAAAATTCATACTAACAAACCATATTCATACCTTGGCAGCTCCAGTGCTGCTGGGAATGATGTTGAAGGAAGCAGCTCTTCCACCTCTCCAGTCCTTGCTTGATGGACCATCAACAGTCTTCTGAGTAGCTGTGATGGAGTGGACAGTGGTCATAAGACCCTCAACAATTCCAAATCGGTCATTGATAACCTTGGCAAGGGGAGCAAGGCAGTTGGTAGTGCAGCTAGCATTGGAAACAATGTTAAGGTCTGATTTGTATTCCTTCTCGTTAACACCAACAACAAACATTGGTGCATCTTTGCTTGGGGCAGAAATAACAACCTTCTTAGCACCACCCTAATCACAACAACAAACCCAATTCACACATAGTTCAAATCATTGAATAACCCTCGTAAACATCTCACCTAATTAATTACATTCTAAATAAATGTTTACTACTCAATATAAAATATGAAATCAATCATACATGACACATTTAATCAATAATCAATAATCAATAAAATAATTAAGAATGATAGATCAATGCAATGAATGAACCTTCAAGTGAGCAGCAGCTTTATCCTTGTCAGTGAAAACACCAGTAGACTCAACAACAAAGTCAGCTCCAACTTCACCCCATGGGATCTCCTCAGGGTTCCTAATTTTCAGATTCAATCACATTAATTAGCTATTAAATTACATTAAACAGCAACATGAAATTAAAAAATTTCAGATCCACAATCACAAATAGTAGATTTAACTTCTAAAATCAAACCAAAAAAAAACTACAAAAATTACCTAGTTCCGAAAACAGCAACTTCTTTCTCACCGAAAAGAAGGGTTTTAGAGTCCTTGACCTTGAGCTCAAAATGCTTCCACTGGCCATGAACAGAGTCATACTTGAACATATATGTCTGCAATAGAGAAACAAAACAAAACACATTGTAAATCGCAAAAAAAGCAAAATCGGAACGAATTTCTTCAATCGGATCAAGTGAAAGAGGAATTTACCATGTAATCAGTAGTGATGAAAGGATCGTTGATAGCAACGAGTTCAACATCGTTTCTTTGAAGAGCAACTCTCGCAACCAAACGACCGATTCTTCCAAATCCTGTAAATGTTTAGAGAGAGGATAATCTAGTAAGAAAACAAAACCAGATCAAAGAGCGAAATGGAAGTAGAAAAGTAGAAAATTGAATTACCGTTGATACCGATCTTGATTTTTTTGTCAGATGCTGTTCAAGAAGTAAGTAATGAATAAGTGATTATAGAATAAGTGATTATTAAAGATTAAAAGCTGTTGAAAAAGAGAAAAATAAGAGTACAATGAATACATACCCATGATACTGAGTTGAAAAGTTGTGGAGAAAATAGAATGAGATTAGAGTGTGGTTTGGTGAAGAAAACAAGAGATGGGTAAGGCTATTTAAAAGGATTGTGTAAGAAGAGAAAACGAAGGGGGCGTGCGTGTCACGTGACGTTTGTGTGCTTGGGGAAGGGGTAAAGTAGTAGTACTGTACTAGTTGTTAGTATCGAGCCGCTGGTTTGTTTTTAACATGGAAAATTGTTGAAAACCCGGGGTTACCCCTGATTTGAGTCAAAAAAAGGTTAATATGTGAGGCGTTAAGTTCAGCGCAGTTATGTAATGAATGACATTAGGAGAAGATTACTAGAAGGAATCGGAATTAGAATATTCCGACACTTTTTTTTTAATAATAAAATTATACGCTCTTTTAATTTTCTTCATTTCAACGTCAACTCCTTTTACTAGCTTCATTATAAAAATAAATTAAAATTCAATTGAGTTCAATATCTTGCGTTCATTTTATTACAAATTCTGAATAAATATATATTTTTTAAATTCTCTTGTTTACGCGTCTTTCCTTTTAGTTTTTTTTTTTACTCTAAACAATGGGAGGTTGTTAGGACTTGTATTTTCTCTTTTACAAATTTCTTTTCTTTTACTTTCGTCTAAAACAAATTAAATCACGTTTTTCATGTTCATTTAAATGCGGATACGACTAAAAAATAGTTATTTAATTTCATTTTAAATTTCAACTTTCTTATATATAATAATTTATATATTTAATATCTTCACTTTTTATATTTTATATTATATTTTTTTTATTTAATTGCAACTTTGGTCTCTCAATTTAGTTTCTTTTCTTGATTTTGATTCCCAAATTTTAAAAATCATCATTTTAGTCTATTTTTAAAATTTTCTTTTAAATTTTGACCCCCTTCAAATCTAAGGTATTTTTTAATGAATTGACATTATTTTTGTTTATGTGTCATTGTCAACTCAATATTTAAATATTTCAAGCTTTTTTTTAATTACTTGTCATTTTTGAAAAATTATAAAATTAATCATTTAAATTTAAAATTTATAGGAAAATATAATTTATTGACATCCATAAGAATCAAACCGATGGCTTTAAGACTTTGGCCTTCACTCTTTACACTAGGCCAACTATGCTAAGTTTATATTGAAACAACAATAATATTTACAGTCTGATGAAACGTAGAGGAAAGTTTTCAATCAGAATAAAATATAACAATTGTTCAAATTAATCGCTCTCGATGGTTAGTACTTTTCTTTTATGTTGATGTCCAAGAATATTTACATCTTAATACTTATAATTACAATTTTAATTTTACTATTTTAACATTATTTAATTATAATCTTATTCATAGGAATATGTATTGATAGCGAGAGAACATATATTTTCCATTTAGTATTTTTTTTCCATACATACTGTGCACTTATGATCATGGTTATGTGCATTATTCAGGATTTGAATGCTACCAAATCATTGAGAGAAACAAAGTCGAAATGAATAAATTTTGATTATGGTGTTAATACTAGTAGAGATTATAATAGTTCACTTTTTCTTGTTTCTATGATTAGTGTCTCCCTAAGATTTGCACATAATTGCCATTGTGAATTTATTTGAAATATCTTGCTACAACATTAGGACCGCGGGAGCAATTGACTATAACGTAGTTTGTTTGGTCTTTGAAGAATTGATATGTTTTATACTGATTGAAAACTTTCCTCTACGTTTCATTCAAATGGTAAATATTACTGATGTCACAATTTAATAACTAAGCCTAGTTGGCATGTCAGAAAGAGTGAATGTCTACAACATTAATATCATAGGTTCAATTCCTATGGCTTTTAATAATTTTTTATTTTTTTTCTAAATTTAAACAATTAATTTTATAATTTTCTAAAAATGATAAGTAATTAAAAAAATTGGAATATTTAAATATTGAGCTGACAATGACACATAAACAAAAATAGTGTCAACTCATTAAAAAATACTTTCAGATTTGAAGGAGGACCAAAATTCAAAAGAAAACTTAAACAATTGACTATAATAGTAGTTTTTAAAATTGGAGGATCAAAATCAAGAAAAAAGTAAAATAGGGGGATCAAAAATGCAATTAAGTCTATTTTCTTTCTTCTACCTAATAATTCAATATCTATTTAAATTTTACTCACTACAATGATTATGTTTTAAAAAATTCAATACCTTATCCCACCACTTTTATTTCAGGTTTTTATTTTCTTTTATATTTTTGTTTTTATGATTTATATTAATATCAATTATCGGTTGAAATAAAATTAAAATAATTAAAAGTTAAATAATTTTTTTAATTTTTTTAATTTAATAATTTATTTGAATTTTTTTATTTTATATTCTTAATTTATTTGAATTTTTTCTAATTTTATAGGAATGATCATTATTAAAACAAATAAAAGTGAAAAAAACAAGAGTTTATTGAAGGTTAAATAGAAAAAATAGAGAGAAAAATTGAATTTTTTTGTGTCCAAATCAAATGAACCAAATCTCTATTTATAGACAAAAAAATGATGAATTTTGGTGAAAATAAAAATAAATAAAAAATTGATTTATTATAAAATAATTGATTCCAAATAATTAAGGTGAATTAAAAATATAAACAATCACAACAATCAATAAGATTTTGCAAAGTATTATATGTGACATGACTCTCTCCTCATTCAACATGTTTAATATTTTCAACACATATTTATCCACCTCACTTTCAACCCTTTATTCAACACCCCATTGCACCTATTCAACTATTGAATAATTTTTTTCAACACCTTTATTATGCATAGTCTTAGTTGAAATAATCTTCAAATTACTTTAAAAATGTCTCAAACACTACTGCACGTATAAGAACTTCGATACACTCTTGTGAATGTGTATGTCGAAATTTCTTCCAACATGCTTGTCGAAAACCACCAATATAATCAGCTAAATTGCTCTAAGTATTTCTTCAAACTCTTTCTTGATATGTTGGAGTTAAGATATGTTGAAAATTCAACTAACAAATTGTCCTCCAAAAATGTCATTTTCGACCAATAGAAGAAAAGGTACATTTTTTTAATGCTTCGATGTCGTAATTAATATTGTATTGACGTCATGACCATCATATCTACTTTTCAAATGTCATTTCGAGACGTGCAAAATTCAGAGAAACTAATCATAACTCCTACTTCCAAGGAAAAGGTGGCCCACAGAAAACTCAACCGCTTGATCAACCTCTAAACAACATACACACGTCCCATGATTTCCACCCTAATGCCAACCCCATAACTCGAATGGTTTCTCTCTTACCCTATAAATTTTTCACTCTCTTCCATTTCTTTTTTTCTCCTTTCAGCTTCCTATCTTCCTCATTTTTCTCTGTGTTTTCTTCCAAACAAACACCAAGAAATTAATTTTTTGCTCTAAAATCTTTCATTGGTTTCATCATAGTGGCCTCTAAACCAAAGAACGTTAAGGGTTCTAAGAACTCATAAGAAGCTTTTCCTCTTGCTAACAGGACTTTTGGTCCACTTCTCTCTGGGAATCAAGAGTATGTGCCTGAACCTCCTCTTCTGAAAGAAAATTTCCGCATATACAAATCCCATGTACTGATTCCTTTTACTATATCTGGAGAGACTCATGCACTTATTTGCCTGACCCTAAGGCAAATACTAAGAAAACAAGGGAATTTTTCCCTGCTTATCATCTCACTAAGACAATTGCTAGCTTGAAAAATCCAATGGCTGATGCTGATGACCTTAGAGCCAAATCGGTGGTTCAAACAAAACCCCATAAGGCTAAACTCGTCGATGAGACAAAGAAACGTAAAGTAAAACCTCCAGCTGATGCAACAGAGTCTAAAGACAAATTCGTTTTCGAAGCAGAAAACCCCATTAACTTAGGTACATGAGTAATAACCTTCGAGTATTTAGCCTGTGTCCATTGTTCAAAGATCTTGAAATTATCTTTCTTGGCTATAGAAAGTTGAAAATAAAAGGCCCAAACTTGGAAGGACATAGGCATTTATGATTTGATTCAATTGTCAAAAATAGGTCCAACTTACTACCAAAATATGTTAGTCGCTTCCTTGTACTTATGAGAAAGCACCACCAACACCTTCCAACTCCCTTGTGGAATGATCAGACCAACACTTTTTGACATAGCTGCCATCACCGGGCTTCGACCATGTTGGGGAGATCTTTGACCCTAATGAGAGAAATGAAGACATCATCAACTTTAACATCAATCGAGCCAGCTTCGGTTATTACATGGTTGACCATCATGTCAAAGATAATGACAAAGTATATGACGAATAACACATTGCTTTTTTGGCACCTTGGTTGTCACATTCTGTCATCTTCTACAAGTCGCTGAAAGTGGCGAAAATATTATTGACCTTAGTAAATCAACTGCATGAAGGTCAAAATATATGCCTGAGTCGGCTAATATTAGGATCTCTTTGTGAACTTTAGAATACAAACATCAAATGACCAGCTATACAACTTGTATTCAAACACTTGAGGAAAAGGTAGGACATACTTCCATCTTGTTCATTTACCTGTTTATCGAAAAAGCTGTGAGACGAGTTTAGTCACAATATCTTAACAGAAGATGGGTATCTAAAGGACCAAGCTATATAAATTGTATTCGAATACTCGAGGAAAAGTTAGGACATACATCCATCTCGTCCATTTTCTGTTTATGAAGTTGAACTAAACTCGCTTAATTATTGTATTTTGAAAGGATCGTGAACGTTTGAATGACCAAGCTATACAACTTGTATCTGAAAATTTGAAGAAAAGGTAGGACATACATCCACATCATCTGTCTAATCCTTTTATTAAGAAAAATATTTTATGCGCTTTGATTTAAAATCGGGTGAGAAAAGACTTGATGTTGACCAAGCGTTCGAATCACATTCAATCCAATTTACTCGGAAAATGACTTAATGTTGATCAAGTATTTTAGTTCTTTTTTCAAAATTGTTGATTTTATCTTATCT